GCGGCATGATCACCTCCCTACTCCTGCTGAGAACACTATTCTTGATCCAGGCCAGGATGCCATTGGTCTTCTTGGCCACCTGGGCACACTTCTGGCTCATGTTCAGCTGGCTGTCCATCAACACCCCCACGTCCCTCTCTGCCTGGCAGCTCTCCAGCCACTCCTCCCCAAGCCTGTAGCACTGCTGAGGGTTGTTGTGGCCGAAGTGCAGGACCTGGCATTTGGCCTTGGCCCATCAGTCCAGCCTATCTAGATCCCTCTGTAGAGCCTCCCTACCCTCAAGCAGATCGACACTTCCACCCAGCTTGGTGTCATCTGCAAACTTACTAAGGGCACACTCTGTCCCCTCATCCAAATCACTGATGAAAAAGTTAAACAGGAGTGGCCCCAGCACTGGACCCTGGGGGACACCACTCGTGACCAGCCACCAATTGGATTTAACTCCATTGACCACAACTCTTTGGACATGGCCATCTAAACAGTTCTTTGTCCAGCAAAGTATATGCCCATCCAAGCCAAGAGCAATTTCTCTAGGGGAGTGCTGTGGGCAACAGTGTCAAGTGCCTTACTAAAGTCAAGGTAGAAAACATCCACAGCCTTTCCTTCATCCAACAAATGGGCCACTCTGTCATAGAAGAGGATCAGGTTTGTTAAACAGGACCTGCCCTTCATAAACTCATGCTGACTGGGCCTGATCACTTGGTTGTCCTGCATGTGCTGCTGTTGGTATAGACCATACTGTAATCAGACCTCACTGGGCTTTTTTTTTAATCCATGTAGCTTCCATTGGAAGACAGATATTTATTCGATTTGGATTCTGGTGTTCTTGTAGAATAAAATTTTATTAAAATCTCAATAGCTTATTTTTAGAGAAATAAGTTTAGAAATAATACTTTGAAAAACTGAATTTGTAAATGTATTTGTAAGCCTACTTTAATGCCTTTTTAATGCAATTATTAGATTCTTTGTGTAGCAACTTTTTTCACAAATTATTTTGAGTTTTTCTCTTAACAGAGGATCTCAAGCTTTAAAATTCTTCAATACACATCAGTTGAAATGCCAACTGCAACGACATCCAGACTGTACTAATGTGAAACAGTGGAAAGGTGGACCTGTGAAGATTGATCCTTTGGCTTTGGTACAAGCTATTGAAAGATACCTCGTAGTTAGAGGTATATATATCTATATCTGTATTATACAGTCACATGTATGTTGCTTCTTGGCATAGCCACTACTTCCAGTAGTGTAGAGTCTGTAAAAAAACATCTGAGGTTTATACCGAAGACAAATGGGAGGTACCTATAAAGGTAACTTGCTCACAGGGAAAGAGACTAAGGTTGCAGATAATCTTCCGTTTTTCTAGGACAAACATTTTCCTGTTGTAAACAGTTCAGTCTAAATACTAACGGAAGTATAGTCTGACTACCAGATTGGCTGTAACTTGGCATTTTTGATGCCAGATTTCGATACCAAAATTTGTTCTAATCAGTCTGAACCTTACTGGTTTTATTTCTTTTTTTTTTTTTTAACTGATGTATTTTGGCACTATTTTTAAACAGTGGAGTTCATGAAAGTCAGTACAAAAGTATTGCTACGTTTTCTATAAAAACAAATGAGTATGTCTTTCTTGTTTTAGGCTACGGAAGAGTTAGAGAAGATGATGAAGATAGTGATGATGATGGCTCAGATGAAGAAATAGATGAATCTTTGGTAAGCTTTTGCTCTGGGGATAAGGGGAGGGAACAGTGTGGGGAGAGGCTTAGAGGAAAGCTAACAACAAGTTTCCTAACTTGTTTTTTTTGTTTTGTTTTGTTCAGGCAGCTCAATTCTTAAATTCAGGTAATGTGAGGCATAGACTGCAGTTTTATATTGGAGATCACTTGCTGCCGTACAATATGACTGTGTATCAAGCAGTTAGGCAGTACAGTTTGCAAGCAGAGGAGGAGAGGGAGTCTACAGATGATGAAAGCAACCCATTAGGAAGAGCTGGGATTTGGACAAAAACTCACACCATTTGGTAAGTTGGCTAGACAAACTGGGGAACTATTTGTTTAGGTTCCTAAATGCATATGCATAAAGTAGAATATGCTTGCTTCCCTACCATCTCCTTCAAAGCAGTGAATCTTTGAATTTTCTAATACACTTGAGATACTTGAATCTTAGAGTATCAGTAGCTAACAAATTCTTACTTTCTAGCTCATGGGTGAAGCTGATGAACAAGAAATGGGGAATCATAAATGATAGCTGCTAGATGGAGGGAAATCAGTGTTAGGTAATGAACCACACACAACAGAGACTTTGTCTTTACTCCACATGTAACAGTCAACTTCATACTGGTTTTCATATTTGATTTCTGTGCAGGTGTATGTATTCTCTGGGCATACTTTGCAAGAAGCAGTTATTGACTTATGACTGTGCCAAACATTTTAACATTCAGCAGCGTCTTTTTCTCTCTAATATTTAAATGTGTTATTAAAAAAAACCAAACCAGCCCAACAAACCACTTTATTTTTTTGTCTGTATCTACTGTTTCTCTTCCTCCAGTTCATAGAGCTCAAAAGGACTCTGTTTTTAGTTCCCCATGACATAATTCACTTCTGAGGGCCTAGCTTCAAAGGCTGGATAATATGCAAATCCGTTGTTCTTGTCTTTTTGCTTTTAATTGTAGTTCAAGTAAAACTCTGGTAATAAAAAACTATCACCTTTTCAACTGCTTTTGTTTTCATGTGAGCATTTCACAAACACGTTTTTAACTTTAAATTACTTTTCAGGTATAAACCTGTGCGAGAGGATGAAGACGGTAATAAAGACTGTGTTGGTGGTAAAAGAGGAAGAGCACAAACTGCTCCCACGAAAACCTCCCCTAGAAATTCTAAAAAGCATGATGAATTGTGGCATGGTGAATATGTTGCATTGCTAATACACTAGATTTGTGAAATTTCTGAAAGGATGAGGGGGAGGAGACACTGTAGTGTGGGATTTTAATTTTTTTTTTTAAAGCAAGCCTAATATAAGGAAAGTAAGCATTATTAATGTGTGTGTTAAAACTAAAAATAAGATACAGCAGTTTAGTTAGCAGTTTAGTTTGGTTAGCAGTAGGCAGCTATGTGAATGCCATGACTAATACTGCCTAGGCTACTAATAATTAAATCTTGGGAAGACTTTTAATTAATTGATTTGTTTTGATAACGTGTTCTTTTTTCCTGCTAGATGGTGTATGTCCTTCAGTATTAAATCCTCTAGAAGTTTACCTCATACCTACTCCACCAGAAAACATAACATTTGAAGATCCCTCATTGGATGTTATTCTTCTTTTGAGAGTTTTACATGCTGTCAGTCGATACTGGTATTACTTGTATGATGTGAGTAGAGCACTTTTTACATCGCTTCCATACTTGTTACAGACAACTCTTTCCTGAAACACCTTAAAATAGCCTTCTTCCCATGTCTGCCCCCTCTCTGACAGAATAATGCCAATATTATCTTCTTCCTATACCTACTTCTGTATACTTCTGGTAAGATGAAGGCTGTTAATTCTTATAGTCAGTCATATTTCCTCTGTAGTCCCCATGTGTTGCCTGGTCTAGTCAAGAGGTGGCGTCCCTGCCCATGACAGGGAGGTTGGATTAAATGATCTCTAAGGTCCCTTCCAGCCTAGGCCATTCTATCATTCTATGTTAAACACATTTTTCCATGCTTTTTTATTCATTATGTTCAAAGAGCAATATTATTCCTGAAAAGAAAATAAATAGTAAAAATTACTCATCTTTTATGGCTTAGATTCTATATGACAAAAGTGACAAAGTTTGTGTTTTTTTCCTTGCGATAAGCAAACTAGAAATACAAAAAAAATCTTATCAAAGAGCATTCTGACAGCATTTCTTTTAAAGTACATTGTTTTTATTAAACACAGAATGCAATCTGCAAGGAGATCATTCCAACCTCAGAGTTTATCAACAGTAAACTGACAGCAAAAGCAAACAGGCAGCTTCAAGATCCTTTGGTAATTATGACAGGAAACATACCAACTTGGCTGACAGAACTTGGAAAAACATGGTATGAATGTTTTACTGTCTAGTATTTCTGCTTTGGATTCAGTAGGCCTCTTGGCTGAGCAGCCCGGATGCTTCATATGCTACGAGGCTTTTGAAAGTGCTGGAGGACAGTAAAATGTAGTCACAGAAGTCTTGCTAAGTTACATAGTGACGCTTGGAATGATGTTTACACCTATATTGCATAGTTTAAACCAAATATGGAGGGATAGACTAGCTGCAGAGTTGGGACTGCCTGTAGGAGTTTCTGAGCAATTTGAACTTTTCTCTTTGAAACAGCAGTACTGGATTTTTCAAGTCATTTTTTTCCTATTAAACTACTTAACAGCATTTTTGTATAGCCCTACATTTATCTTAGCATATTCAACATGATACAAAGAAAATATTTTTATAATTACTGATGAAATATAAATAATTTTTATAAAGATAATATCTATACTACTTTGTAGTATCTTGATACAGAGTATAAACTGTAAAAATCTTGACTTACTGATGTTCTTGGATTTTTCAAGCATGTTAATTGGAGTAAGATTGGTAACAATTGACTGGAAACATGTACTCTAGAGAAACTATTTCATTTTAATTTTTAAGATCAGATCTCTAAATTTCTTCATAAACATTCCAGATAAGAAATTGTGAGTATGAACATATATTCTTCTACAAATATCTATAGCAGTATTTGTTCTGTGAAACTGCCTTTTCACTTAAATCTCAGTGAGTGACTACACTGTTAACGTACACATGCCTTTGGGAATAGTAGAACTGATAAAATAAGAACTCTCTCTGGTAGTCTCTCACAGATTATTTTAAAGTGCTTTATGAAAATGGTGGAAGGTAGGATGCTGGTGCTGCTCTAGGCAGGTTCTCTTCCCCTTCAAGCCCAAATACAGGGGCTTCATCCACCTTCTTAAAGTCTTCAATCAAAGTTAAATCTACTAGTTGTAAAACAGTATAAACAAGAAAAGAATTTTTTTTTTTATATATATATATATATATGAGCTTTGCATACCCAAGGCGTTCATGTGTTTTCAGTTATTTTTTCTGGAGTTAGAATCTGTTTCTGGATTTTTTTTTTGTGGTTTCTTCATAGCACTAGAACAGACGGCCCAGGGTGGTTGTGAAGTCTCCTTCTCTGGAGACATTCAGAACCTACCTGGACACGTTTCCGTGTGACCTATTCTAGGTGATCCTGCTCTGACAGGGGAGTGGTACTAGAAGATCTTTTGAGGTCTGTTTCAACCTCTAATGTTTTGTGATTCTGTGATTTAGCCTCTTGCTCGTAAGCATCGTAACTAAGACTAAAGTGTTTTCCGTAAGACTTGCATTTGGAGGCTGCTTTCACCACAGTGTTTAATAAAGTACTAGTTTCAGGCATACTACAATTCTGTTGTGTTTTTGAACTAAATTGTAGGCATAGATGCTAGTTGAAACCTAGCTAACTAATCCAATGCTCTTTACAGCCCATTTTTCTTTCCATTTGATACCCGTCAAATGCTGTTTTATGTAACTGCTTTTGATCGTGATCGAGCCATGCAAAGACTACTGGATACTAATCCAGAAATCAATCAGTCAGATTCTCAGGATAGTAGAGTGGCACCACGACTGGACAGGAAAAAAGTAGGTATATCTTGCTTAAAAATTGAATGAGTTATATGTTTATTTTTGTATTGTCTTAAAGAATGTAATTGTGAGCAAGACTTTCTTGTAAAACATGAGGTTTTTTTAGTATACCAATGAAGGATAGGTTTGTTTTTACTAGAAGTCCCAGAGTAGAATGAAGCACAATGTCTTATAGGTGTTTGCCACTAGGTGGCAGAAGGGACTAATGTGTGGTACACTGCTTAATTTTGGAGTCTTTACATAAAGTTCATTTGTGTAGTATAGTTTCAGAAATTAGGTTACATAAGTTAATATAAGGAAATATCACAAATAAACATCTGTTTTGCTTTATGTACAAACTCAGAAGAATTAAAGCAGTAGTATTTGCACAGTTACCTGAACTAACAAAAACATGGTCCGTGTGTTCTGGGAGCGTGTTAAAGTCCTGTCACTACATAATTAAACTAAACTGGAACTGTTTTAAATTGAGGGAGTCTTACATTCTGCCTTGGCTCTGGAGAGATGTTATCTTAAAGTTCTGCTGCATAGTGTAGGTTTGCTATATGGTCTTGAATATCTCTAGAAGAAAAAAGAGGATCTAGTTGGACTAGAGTATAGCTTTCAATATGTAGGAATCCCAGTGCTGCTGCTCTTTTCTTTGGGTTTGGTGGGATTTTTTGGGGACGTTAATTTGTTTTGGTTTTTTGGAAACCTGCCTGTTTCCCTACTAGAGAATCTGCAAGGGCAGGTTATAAGATTATTCTGTTAGACTGCTGGATTTTTCTTCTCCACATACTAGTTAGAGGTATGTAACATTACATGACAACATTTCTCTGCTGCATTATAGTCCTACTGCCAGATTCTTGGCATGAGTAGTACTGTTAGTTAATACTGATACAAATTTAAGGTATTGTCTTTTCATTTTGTATCAAACACTTTAATTCTAGTCAGTTTTCATGTAGAAGCAGGAATTATTTTATCAAAGTATAAGCTTACAAATTGTCGAACTGTGGAACTCTTAGCATGGGGTGGAAAAACATGCATAACTAATTTTTTTCTTGTTGTAACTGCCTTGAGAGCTGGGACTTACAGACATAATTTCACTTCTTAAAACTTCTCTGATGTGTAGCGCACTGTGAACAGAGATGAGCTGTTGAAACAGGCAGAATCTGTGATGCAGGATCTAGGCAGTTCAAGAGCCATGTTGGAAATCCAGTATGAGAATGAAGTAAGTAATATTACTGCAGTCTAACGTAACCCCTTTTTAATGAAGATTAATACAAAAAAGCTACAACTTTCCTAGAATAACTTGGTCAGACTCTTGGTCTTTCCATTGCTGGTGCCACAAAATTTGTCTGTGAATTATCGCTAATTCACTTATTTGTTTGTGTTTTTAGTTGCTAGGAGAAGCTTTGATCTAAATTTCATAATCAGACTTATTCTGTAGAGCACAACTTTTTTCTGGCTATAAGCAAGCAACTGTGTACATTTCTTCTACCATGATCTTTAGGTGATTATTACTTTTATTCTGATATTATTCCCTCTTGCATATGGTCTTTCCAAGTGTTCTCAGTTGTATTTTAAATATTGTAGCTAGATTCTCTAGATGCTTTTTGCAGTGCAGTCTTCTTCATAGCCAATAATTACTATATTTCCAGTACTAAGTAAAGATTCTTATTTTCAAACTGACCTAACAGACTCATTTATTTATTTATCCCATTCCTTCTCCTCTCCATGAACCCTCCCTACACCTGAAGGTTGGCACAGGCCTAGGCCCCACGCTAGAGTTCTATGCACTTGTATCTCAGGAACTACAGAGAGCAGATTTAGGCCTTTGGAGGGGAGAAGAAGTGACTTTAGCCAATCCAAAAGGTAAATGTTTTATTGCCTAAACTATCAGTATTGATTTACTATTGAATTGATTCTAAGTTGATTTTAATTATGTGACCTGCTTTTATCAAAAGAGCACTTCTATTTGTGGTCTGATAATATGCCTCATGATAGTGCATGATTATATTTGTATTAGGGTATGTGTTTCTGTTTTATTTGCTTTTTTAATTTTACAAGAAGCCTTAGGTTATGTTTATGTAATAGCTGCCTTTAAACTTGCATGTGGAATGAAGCCAGTAGTGTATGTATTGAACTTTTTTCTTTCTTTCTTTCTCTGCAGGAAACCAGGAAGGCACCAAGTACATTCATAACCTTCAAGGCTTGTTTGCACTTCCTTTTGGTAGAACAGCCAAGCCAGCTCACATTGCAAAAGTTAAAATGAAATTCCGCTTTCTGGGAAAACTAATGGCCAAGGCAATCATGGATTTTAGACTGGTGAGAGTGAACTGGAAAATGTGATTCTGAAGGGTTAAATGAAATTTCAAATTCTGACTTTTTTGGAGGAAAATAGCATTAATAATTGCATGAAGTTATTTTCAGCTCTAGCAGTTTGGTGGTGGGTAGCGTGGAGAGGGAAGCAACTGAAGTATTGATGCAGGGGAAAGGTAGTGTATGTCAAAGATATTTACAGTGGCATTTGTTGAGATCATAGTAAAAATGAAAAAGAAAAAAAGAAAAGCCGTTGCCTGACGTGTTGCCATGTATTGCTCCGTTTTTCTTTTAAAGATGATTTTACTCCAGCTGCTATCTTGCTCATTGCTTTAATGTGTACACACTAGGTAGGTAGTTGTGTATTCTCGACTGTATAGATTTCTCAGGTGAAAACGCTCAAGACACGGCATTTTGGTGAGTGACAGAACTGTGGATTAGTAAATAGTATTCTAGGTCTGGTCAAGAGATAAAATAGCAGAAGATACTGTTCTGAAAGACAGTTCAATACTGAATGTTTTAATTTCCAGGTGGACCTTCCTCTTGGACTTCCTTTTTATAAATGGATGCTACGACAGGAAACTTCCTTGACATCACATGATTTGTTCAGTATTGATCCAGTAGTAGCTAAATCAATATATCACCTTGAAGATATTGTAAGACAAAAGAAAAGACTTGAACAGGACAAAACACAGGTGGGAAAGTAATGGAAGAGTGCATCTTCCACATTTGAATTTTATGAAGTAGCTGTAACTGAGAGTGTATGATACTGTGTAATACTGATGGTAATAGTGGTAAAGACTTTGTTCTAATAAAAGACTAGTAATTGTAACATTGGCTAATAATTGTAACACAATCATTTGGTAATGGAGACTGTAATATTAAACATTTATTATGGAATTCTTTGCTGTGATTAAACACAGGCTAGAAATGAATGGCTAAAGCTGCCTAAGGTGACTTTTGTTTTTGGATTACTTTGAAAAGACTAAGGAAATTAATATCAGAGGAAAAAAATCTGTCATTGGCTTTTGAACATTCAAAAGGCTTGACACCTTTTTTATACTCTCAATGCATCTGCTGTGTTACTAGTGAAGTTATTTAAAGCTTGTGGGCCTTTATTCCTCTTCACCTCACTGTCTCTCTCTCCTTTAACACTGCTTTTACTTTTCCAGCAAGAGTTGAAAACCTGGTGGATGAAAGCTGAAGAATGTCAGTTTGCCAAATATTAATGTCGTTAAGTATTCTAATGAAAAAATAGAGCCTAGAAACCTTAGCATATTACTACTGCAAGAGAAGGAGATGTGTAATTTCTAAATAAATAATAAGCAAGAATTTGAAGCAATTCCAAAATTGCTAAAATAAAAAAGTACTGTTACGATCTTTGTTTGTCCATTATCTGGTTTGTCTTGGTTTATTGTTATGCATGAAAAGTATTGAAACAAAACAAGGAGTACTGGAAATGTTGACTTATGACTTCTAAAGCCGCTGTGACTAACTTTTGGATAAGTTAATGAGAATTAATTGTTCTCACTGGTTTTCACTTCAAATTTTTTAGACCAAAGAAAGTCTACAGTATGCGTTGGAGGCTCTGACTATGAATGGCTGCTCAGTGGAAGATCTAGGGCTGGACTTCACGCTTCCTGGCTTTCCTAATATAGAACTGAAAAAAGGGGGAAAAGATACACCAGTCACTATCCACAACTTAGAGGAGTATCTCAGAGTACGTAAAAGCAAAGCTACAACTAATATTTTCTTTATTCTTCCTCAGCTTGATCGCAAGCGGTTTGTTTCCTTTTATATTTGAGTTCATTTTTGTGAACTGGGCACAGCAATAATTTTCCTACTGGTGGTTGACTCTCTGTAGTTTATTACTACAGGAAAAAAACCTGCTTGAAACCTAGGCAGTGCACCTGACTTGAAAATTTTCAAGTACATAATGAAATAATCAGAAGTGTGTTGTTTTGGAGGGATAAAATGTGTTGTGATAAGTGGAGTAATTTGAGCTGTGAACTTTAGGAATCTCTTAACTTTCCACATCTGGGTATGATAATTTATTGGCAATAGAGATTTAGCACCTGTTGCCCACACCTCAGTGGGTTTGAACTCCTATAACAGTGACCTTTTTTTGAGTCAGGCTTAAGAAAACATATGAGTTCAACTGTGAGTCAAAATTGGAGCAGCATTGTTTTTTAAAAAACAAACAAACAAAAACAAAAAAAAAACCCACCAAAAAAACCACCAAAAAACCCAAAAGAAACACACCAACACAAATCAACACATTAACAAACACCCAAACAATCAACAAAAGTAAGGAACAGGTAACAGTACAGTATTATAGTAAGTTAACTGTACACCTGCTTATCGGTTTATTCATATGTCAGAAGGGACATAAAACCTAGAAAAACAAATAGGGGGTACTGCTGAACAAAGGTAGGAAACTGTTTCTGCTTAACAAAATGTTAAATAGAATAGGTTAAAAACAGCCTAGAATAAATTAGGGAAGGCAGGAAGATGGCGATGCTGTCCCATGAAGTCATGAGTGGGATGGAGGTAAGAATGATTGATTGCATCATGAAATAAACATTATTTCAGTTCCTAAATAATGGATTTGCTGACAGGTTAGTCTGTTGCCTGGTTTACTCTGAGGACTGTTAAGATTTTCAGGCACTGATAAGAAGCATATTTAAAGCTTTATTGGAAGTGATTCAGTAAGTAAGGGGCATAAAAGCTCCTGGACATCAACTTGGAACTTTGAAGTTATTCCATAATTCTTACAACTGAATATTGAGCAGTTGCTGTTCATTTTCCAGATTCAAGCTGTTATGTGCATAACCAGTTCTCATATGTTTAATTGTTGAAAGCAAGTTCTGCTAGTTGAAAATCACTTGTAAAATTAAACATATTTGAATATAAAGCTATTTGAAGGCTTAGCAGTTGGCAATGCCAACAACTGTAGCTTGTTAGAAATGATATTTAGAGTTTCTGTTTACTGAGAAAAGCTGAGCAAGGCTGCTTTCAAGTCAGATTTTTATACAGTTTACAGTCAGGTTTTTTTCTTCTAGGTAACATGTATCAGATATCTGATGAGAAAAGCTTGCAGACATCTCAGCTGTCCTATAGTTGCCTATTGCAGGCCTCTGGTATTGTAAAGTGCAAGCAAATCACTACAGAAAGCTTGCTTTATCCTTCTCTATAAACAACTTTTAGGACTATTTACTTTTAGGACTATTTTCTTGAAAGGATGCTGGTATACCCATTTTATCCTTGTCTTTATATTCCTGCCATATACAGGATACTTTAAACTAGATCCCAGTGGTTATCATTACAGACTTGATGTCAAGGAAATAAAAAATATTTCAGAGGGAAAATTCATGTCCTTTCTATCACAAGTATGTTGAATTGCAATTTAGAAACAGCGTATTTGATTTTTCAGTTAGTCTGTAGAGCTCCCTGTGGGCCAGCTGCTGTGCCGTTCAAAAAGTTATTTTATGTGGATTACTATTAAGAGTAGTTTATAAAGCTAGAATATCCTACTGTTACTCTTCATACCTCTCCTGTAGTCATATCGTTCCACTGTCCATCTCTCTTCCCCCTATTACCACCCTTCCAAAACGATTCTCACAGGAGCTACCTTCATGAGGAGACAGAATTGTTTTCAGCTACCAGTATTAGTGAAAGGCTTTATTGTATCTTTCTTGTTTTTCTCTTTTCTGTACTATGAAGAAAAAAAGCCAACTTGCTTGTTATAAATTCATGGACAAAAAGTTTCTAGAGTGCAGGTTTTTTTGCCTAGCTATTTGATCTCCTCTATGAATCCATGAGAACATGATACATCTTAATTTTGCCACGTATTTCTGATCATAAAATGTAATCACAATTCTAAGTAAGTAACTCTGCTGCTAGAATAGCCATGCTGATGTTACAGAATGCAACAGAACAGCCTTCTGTGCTGTTGGTGCTTTCTAGCTTCCTCTTCAGTATTGCAACCTTATATATGAAAGTAGGGGTGTATCTGTCAAGGGTTAGGGCTGAGTCAGCCACTACGAGCTGACAGATGCTCTCTAACTCCTCTCCCTCCTTGAAGGGAAAAGAGAATAAGACAGAGACACGTTTTGGAAGAGAAAACTAAACCAGCTTTAATAAAATAGTACCAGTAACAAAGTAATGAAAATAATGAAATATATACCATATATACAAAACTGATATTGAACTGATGTTGAACTCAGGATTGGTATAAAAGGCAGAAGATCAGTCAGAGTCCTTGTTTTGATGCCACCCACTGAAGAGAGCTTAACCGCTGTGATCCCTCAGCTTTATACCGAATATGATGTAAATGGAATATACTTTAGTTGGTCACCTGCCCTATTCATTCCTTTCTGCAGGTGCAACCTTTTACTTCCTTGCAACTCTTTTTACTTCCTGGCACCCCCAACGTGGCACACAAGATGTAGCAATGACTGTATTCACTATAGGAGCAAGTATAAGCAAGAGCCTTTCTGCCTACCCGTCCTTGGTAGGAAGATGCTATCACTTCCAGTAGCAGACGATGCATGCAAAACCATGCTGTTTACTTCAGAACATCAGAACTGGTTTTGTTTAGCTCAGACCAGGACAATGTCTTACCTGAAATTCAATCCCTGATTCTTTTGTAAGAAAGCTTCTCAACTGATCCCAATAGGTTTTTACATCTGAGAGCATTCTGGAACAAACAACTCTTTAATTATTGGATCGGGGCTAAATATTTGCTTCAGGTGTTCAGCAGTATCTATGAAATTTATGATTATATTGAGATGAATCCTTGTATGTCTTTCAAGCTTTTCTCAGTATTCCAGGTTGGAGCTTTTAACACATTTTAAGCTAGTAGCTACAGATCTTTTACGACCAGCCTTCATTTCCTGCTAGAGTTTAGGGTATCCAAGGCAAGCATAATCATCAGTAGCACTAACTGACAAAAGAATCTGAACTTGGCATGTAATCTGCTATGTACAGTATATTTCCTAATTTAGTGGAGCACTATTGGTTGTAAGTGATTCAAAAGAATTTGTCATGTCCCTTTCTCTGCCCCCTGTGATTGTTTTCAGTCCGCTTTGGAAGATGAATTAATTTTGAGGGAGTAACTGCAGATATAAAACCAAAAAGAAAACTACACACAAAAAGCCTAGACTGGCTTACTGTCTTTTACCTTATGATTTTTAACTACATCTCAGTAACATGAAATGAAGTTACTTTCCCCCCCTCCATGTATTCTTATAACATTAAGCTACTTAATATAGCAAAAAGACTAAAGTTACTTTTCATAACCGTAAATTAGAAAAGGGACCAATATGTCTCTGTGGGCGTATCTAGTATGACACTGTCAATCATGTCGTAAAGATTTCTGTTTCAGTTGCTGAATTTTAAATGGTTATCATTGTACATAGAACATCTGGGTTAAGCTTCTAAAAATATCTAATAAATATTTACATTTGTTTTAAAATATTTTGTTAAATAAGTTCAGTTTAACCAGCTATTCTGAATTACATATGTTAACCTTAATTTATCAAAAATAAAAGCAAACAAATTTGTTTAAATCTCTGCATGTGTTGCATGCTTAGGGTATTTTAAATATAGGGTTGTTTGCTAATTTGCAGTGACCACATGAGAAAATTATGAAGTAAAAACACCACTAAAAAATGCCTGTTGCATTGCAGCAGCACTGCAGTTGCACCTGTGTAGCAGTATGAGCTTATGAATTAAGGCAGAATAAGGCAGTGCTATAGAGTAGCTCTGTGAATCAAAGTTCAGACTGCCACAACTACAGTGAGCTTGTGGGTAGGCTTCTGTAGAGGATTAATTATTTTTCTTCTGCAGCTGTAATCATTCTGGTCTTTTGTACAGTAGTGATCATTACATGCTTTATATGTTCGAATGACGTTTTGGCTTTTTTGTTTGTTTTCTCTTTCCTTCACTGCAGTTGGTTATATTCTGGGCACTAAACGAAGGCGTTGCTAGACAGTTTGACTCTTTCAGAGATGGATTTGAATCAGTCTTCCCCCTCAGTCATCTTCAGTACTTCTATCCTGAGGAGGTTGGTTAATGAGTTTTTACTAATGCTTTTATAAGCTTTTATCTATAATTATGAACAGCCTGAACAACCTAGGTGTGCACTGGATGGAGTGCGCTTGTGATGGGGTCTGATTATGTTACATTTGTGATGCCTGTTAGTAAAACTTGATGTCCTATGAATTACATACTTAAATGTTAAAGATGCCTATGTTTGGTCATTTACTTGCTGTTTTTGTTATGAACAACTATTTTCTTTAAAATTAAAAATGTCCATTTTGTCTGAGAAAATTGATTAAATTTATATCTGCAGCTCTCAATAATGGTATGGATAATTTAATTTCTTGTATTGCTGTACCTCTTTAATAGCTGTAAGATAGATGTAGCATAAGTAAGTGGGTGTAAGTGGGTGCTATGTATGTTCTATTAAAATAGTCAGGTCTTTAAACAAAACTTTAGGTAATAAGAGGAGGCTCAGATGAAGGGGCAAAGAATAAAGATAAACAATCATAGAATAATAGAACGGCATAGGCTGGAAGGGACCTTAAAGATCTAGTCCAACCTCCCTGTCCTGGGCAGGGACGCCTCTCAACTAGATCATGATACTCAAGGCTCCATCCAACCTGGCCTTGAACACCTCCGGGGAGGGGGCAGCCACAACTTCTCTGGGCAATTTATTCCAAAGTCTTGCTGCCCTCGTACTGAAGAACTTCTTCCTAAGGTCCAATCTAAATCTATTCTCCTTCAACTTAAACCCATTTCACCTTGTACTATTGCTGGACACTCTTGTAAAGAGTCCCTCCCCAGCCTTCCTGTAGGTTCCCTTCAGGTATTGGAAGGCAGCTATTAGGTCCACAATCTTCTATTACTCTGCCTTTATGGAATTTATTTGAAGACTGCAAAGGACTTGTTTGCATTCAAAAACTTACACCTTTGACTTAATGAAAAAAAGTTAAGCGTGCTCTGAAGCAGCATGTTAGCCAAGCCTTTGTGTTATTCTGCTATTCTTGATGCTTTGTGACGTAAGAGTCTCTTAAAGCTGAGATTTGTAACTGCTCCTAGTGATTTGTCTTCATCCATCTCTATTGCTACTAATTTCAAATAGTGCCACCACTTCAAGGCTCTTAAAAGTGACACGTTATTCTAGTTTCTCCAGTCTTTTACCCAGACTTCTCTGTTTTGTTGCATATGTGATGCTGTTTTTCTGTCTTGTTGTTTGGTATTGATGCTTGCTTCTACTTGGAAAATTTAATATATGGGCAGTAGTCTATTACTAATCTACCAATAAGGTTAATCAAAATGTGATCTTGTGTTCTGTTGCTGATAGCTGTTCAGCCATTTGAACCTTTTTACGAACCATCAACAGAACAGCTTGGTGTGTTGAACCTCTGGTTTTAATGAGATGGGGAGTTTACAACTCCTTGTGTATCCTAGCTGTAGAAGCCTTTAATGTTTTGGCTGTAGCCTGTCATCTCTGCTTGCCCAAGTGCACAGAAAGAAACACACAAAATAATTTAAGTACTAAACTGTTATCTGACAGATCTATGTCTGTCTAATGATTTTTTTTTTTTTTCTTTCAAAGAAGAGCTCAGAGTTCTAAAAACCAAGTGCTTGGGGTGACAGGTTGTTTTGCACCAAGCCGCTCCAGAAAGTAGAATGCTGCAATAGTAGTCAGTACAGACAGTACTTGTTCTGTCTCAGATTCTAACGAGGACATCTTACTTTCTTATTTTGTAATTTTTTAGTTGGAGCAGCTCCTCTGTGGCAGTAAAACGGACACTTGGGATGCAAAGACTTTAATGGAGTGTTGCAGGCCAGATCACGGTTATACACATGATAGGTAATACAGTCCTGGTCTTAAATAAGTATTGTCACTTGAAAATACATGCTTAAACAATCTTGATATACTGTTATTCAAGCTAAAGGAATTTGGGTTTTTTACATATTTATACATTCACTGAATATGAATGTGATGTAATTGTTTTAACTGTAAACAGAATAATAGCTTGCTTTTTTTCCCCCCCTTAGTCGAGCAGTGAAGTATCTCTTTGAAATTCTCAGTAGCTTTGATAGTGAGCAGCAAAGACTGTTTCTTCAGTTTGTGACAGGTAGCCCCAGACTGCCTGTAGGAGGTAGGTTTTATTATTACATATTGCTGTATATAATATTGTCATTATTAATGATATTTCAAGGGCTATTTCAATACGGGGAGAAAAATTACTTAACTGTGTTTTAGGGATTCATACTTGTTTGACGTGTCTAGTTTTGGAATTGGCTGGGTAGTCTTCAGGTAGAATTCTCAAACTTGATGTTAATCTATAACGCTTCATTCAATTGACTCTTAAGTTTAATTTATGTTAGATAATGTATCAGAGGGCAAAAAAATAGTTAAAATGTAAACAAAACTGAAAACCCTTAGTATGGTATTTGTTGGCTACAGGTGCCTTACATTATGACAACAACAAAATGATGCATTGCTACCTAGAAACAATAATTTTTCTAGAGTAGACAACATTAGCATAGTGATAAACTTAATTTCTCCCCCTTTTGATTTTCATGACATAGATAAGAGGCAGTGAGAAAAACTGAAAAATATTTGCTGTCTTTGGTAGGGACCATTATAAAATACACAGTTTACCATATTCTTTGCTGAACATTTTGTAAGTGAAAACAATTTATTTATCTATTCCACTATTTAAGTTCTTTGGGTTTTGGGGAAAAGAGTTGATTTTTTTTTTTTCCTAAAATAAAATAGTTTAGAGCTCTTTTGGGGAAAGATGGTGCAGACAGGATTGAGGGTTTAGAGTTTAAAAACTTTAGCTGGAGTCAAAATATAAGGTATGACAGTCATAGATAATTTCTGAGGATCTTAGAAAATATATATGAAACCAACTCTTAATATTACTAATGGAATATGTTTTTTTACACACACAGAAAACAGAATTAAAAGTAAATGCATCTAACTTATGTCTTTAATTCATCTTGGAAAAGTAATCTGTACAGACAGGACTTTAGGTATTTTTTTTTTTAAGTTGCTACCTGGCTTTATAAAGCCATATTCTAAACTTCTAGAAATTGAGATTAAGAAGTCATGAGATCTCATTAAGAAGTTGAGAGATGTGTGCTTCACTGTTAGATGTCTCTGGATTTTGAAGAGGAACAATGTTATTCATATCTTTTCTCATTTATAGGTTTTCGAAGTTTGAATCCTCCATTGACAATTGTACGGAAAACATTTGAATCTACAGAGAATCCAGATGATTTCTTACCCTCAGTAATGACTTGTGTGAACTATCTCAAATTGCCAGACTATTCAACTATTGAGATAATGCGTGAAAAACTCTTGATAGCTGCAAGAGAAGGGCAGCAGTCATTCCATCTTTCCTGATCACAATGAAAAATGCAGTGTCTACCTGTTACAGCAAAAGAGAAAATCATGATTCTTTTCAAAGTATATCACCTAATTCAAGGAAACATGTTACACCTTGTTGTAGAAAAACGGCTTGCAGATAAAAACAAAGACACTTGGTTGATACTCATTAAAGGCCCCTGTGGACTTAAAGTGATCAGGCCCTAAAAATTGTTGTGACATGGTTTCTTTAGCAAGTTCATGTTTAAATTTATTTGATGAGTGAAGTTTTTAACTTGCTTTGCTGTGTGAAATTTAAAAAGGGATGTTTTTCCAGGCTGGAACAATAAATGTCGCTGTGCAGTTTAATACTGGGCTGTGTGTATCCATCTAGCTAAGTCTAAAGTTTTTCCTCCAAAGACAACTTTTGTACATAAGTACAGAAATTAAAATACACCATGTATTTGATGAATCAGTTTAGTAGACTAGTTCTGTGTACTCTCACCTGCCTCTTACTTTACCCATCCTCACGTATTGTCTAATGTGCAATTCACTTGGTTCTTTTTGTGTGAAACATTCAATAATTATTATGTTTTGGTTAACATGGGCATTTAACTGCTCCATGGCTTTTCCTCTGATTAAGATAATTTAAATTTTACTGAAATCAAATATATATTGTCAATATAATTCAGCATTTGTAACTAGGTAGAACTTTTCTTATAGCATAGTTTTACTGTAGTGGTAGGATATAATGGCAACAGTCTTTACCAGTCAGCATTCTAGAGCTGTTTACAAAGTGATTCAGGCAGTGTAAGCCTCTTACTGGAGGCTAGGAAAAATTGTATCTTTTGTGTAGTTGAAGTTCAACAGCTTGGGCTGGCCAGTGTGTATTGTGGTAAGGCCAGAGCATTTTGAATTGATGTAAAGTTTTTTTAGAAGACAAATTAGCTGTTTCATTCCCTGTTTGAGTAAGCAGGCTTCTTGTTCTTGATCTAAGTTACTCCTTTTTT